CCCAAATTTTCCTCAAAATGCAGGGTTATTTATGGATAATTTGGGTAATATTGGCAGGAGTCTTATGGATAATTGGGGGAAAATTAGGCAGCTCATTAATATTCTATTTTGTGGCTATCGACGATTGGAGATTGGAGATTGATGCCGAAACCTATACTCGCCCGGGGCACAGGGTGCCCCAGCGAGTAATAACCTCATTGTTAGAAACTAGGCTAGATAGCAGACGGCTGAACTAACCCTATACAGAACTTTAAAGACTCGCAAAATTGAGCACAAGTATAATACTTTTACAGTGTAGAAGAACGTTCCGTTCGATCCCAATTTTTCTGAGCTGGAAAGGAAAACTAGTTGCTAGCACGAAAGTCAAAATCATCCCAACCCCTCTGTTACATTCTTTCTGCAGTGCCCCCGAAATTGAGAGCCAGCTACGGGCTTGCAACTTAATGAAATCTTCAGGTTCTCGGAAACTCTCTTCAAGTTCCAACAAATCTTGCTCTTTCTCCTCAATTGTTACTCGCAGGTTTTGTTCGTCCGTTTCAATTTTATCAAAATATTTCTGTGTCGGTGATATGTATTGTTCTATATTGGGGTATTCAAACCCAACGGGTTCGTCTTCGACAACACTGGTTTGGTTATCATCGCACAAATTGATTAAAGCAGTCTAGAATTGTCCTCATGATGGTCATTTAAATTACGTTTACTTCTAAATCGTTTTTTTGAAGTGTTTTGCTTACTATTAGGAGACGGCGATTTGACTTTGAGCTGATTTCACTGCTCTGAGATGAAGTAGCCTGCGTGCGTATTTCACTAATAATTCCGAACTAAATCGCTTTATCTCTTCCTCGCGTAAGAAAAATTTAGAATAATTCTTATGATGACCATATGAGTCATATTCGATCTTAAATTCGTACTTTTTCCTTTCATAGACATCATTTTCAATATAAACAAATACACGCTCGAATACACGGAGAAAAACACAGCAAAGTTTTGAGACAAAACGCGTAGGCCTTTGTGGGCGGGTCGCTAACGCTTTGTGGACGTGGCGGTCGTGCGAAATTTTAGTGGCTCGCCCACTTCGGTGACATCCGTAGTATTCAACATGGACTTCTTACATGCGAGGCCGCGGACAAATTCCGAACCGCGGTTAAATTAAGACCATGCATGGTTGTTACACCGAGGCGATCTTTGGTGCAACTTGCAACGAATTTCTGATACAGGACAATGTTAAGGCCCTGTCACACTAATGTGTATCGTACTAGCGTATGAAATATATCACCCATACGCTGGTATACGCAAACCTACGCTACTGGTACGTTAAGCATAGGTTGTATACTATTCAAGCACGGTCGCATACGGTGGCATACGCTGGCATACAGGCCGATACGGCGAGGCAGAAAATTTATTTTAAGCATGCTCAAAAATTTTGTGCTTATTCGGACGTATGCTTTATACGATAAGCATACTCTAGACACACGCTGAATACGCTAGAGGTACGCCAGATGTACGGTACTCATACGCTGGCATTTCAAAGGATTTTTGTGCATATGAAAATCATTTCATTAATTTTCATACGCTTCTCATACGTTTCTCTCATACGCAATAGTGTGACAGCAGGGCCTTTATCTAAAAAGTATTCATAGAAAAATGTGAGCATCGGTCGCATTTGATTCGACTCTACCAACACTTTTTGTATCTGCACGTATCGCTAGATACTATACTATGCTATCGAGTTGTGTGCGTGTCCGTGAACTCCGTGTCTTTTATAGAGAATGTAAAGTAAAATAAAATTGAGTTAACTGTTGTGCGTGCGTAAACACTCGGGTCGAGCAGAACAACGTATTTTAAATTAAATGCAACCTCGCAAGCCAGGCTCTCTACTTCCGCTTCCCTCCCTAACACGCTCCAGCTGGAGCGTGTTAGGGAGGTAAGCGGAAGTAGAGAGCCTGGCTTGCGAGGTTGTTTTAAATGTTGCACCTGGTGAAGGTAGCAGGTATACTAAGTATATACTAAGTGTATACTATATACTCAGAGGAATTAGCATTCCCAGGAATATTTAATTATTGGTCAGAAACGACCTAACAATGCAAATAGACTATAACAAGTACTGTTAGCATGTTACCACGACTGTCAGTTAAATCTGGAACCATAAAAGTTAACTTAAAGAGAAGATTACAATATAAAAGTTCAGCTTTTTCGTTGAAATATGTTATAAAGACCTTAAGACCTCACAAGACACAACTATGGTAGCAACCTCGTTCCCAGGCTCTTGAAAGAGCCTGGGTACGAGGTTGCTAAGGTAGTACAAGCTGCCCAATGGCTTGTTGATAACAGTATCCTTTATAGGGAAAAAGGTATAAGTTGTATAACTTTTCCCCGAGCCGACGGCGCTCCGGGCGTTAGCCTGGGGCGAGGGTACTAATTCCGACCGGCTATTTACAACCGGAGAAAGGGAAGCATTAGCGAAAGTAGCGAGTATTAGCGAAGCTTTAGCGAAGTCTAAAGTTCATCAATGATCGCGGGCGTGGGTCACCAACCGTGGGTGGTCATCCTCACTGATCTCAAAAATATTGCTGTTTGCCAGGAGTGGGATAAACAAGATTTCAATTTTGAAAAGCTTATATTTGGAAAATCACGTTTCACACAATGTCAATGAGCTTTGAAGCAATTTTTGTTTGAAGAAATGAGAAGAATTGATTTACTGTGGGAAATCGTGGAATATAGGGCAAATTTGCTTTGAATGTTTAATGTTTATGAATTTTGTTGCTTTAATTTATTGCGTAACACATGCACTGCTTTCCTTTTCAATGAAGCTGTATTAATTAAAGTTTGCTAAATTACCTTGTTTAATCACAATTTATCTCTAAAGATGGCAACAATTTTATAAATGACACTAGTGAAAATTGCTTGCAACCAAAAAAACAGATTAAATTTCGACCACCAAATTAATAACCATGGTAAACAGTTAATTAATCTTTGTAAAAACTGTGACATAAAAATTTTAAACGAACGCACAAAAGGTGATTCCTTTGGACGAGCTACTTTCCATGGTAACAATGGTATAAGTGTAGTTGATTACATCATATGTGATCAGGAATTATTTGGAAATACTAATTATTTTGTTGTAAAACCACCAACATACCTATCTGACCATAGTCAAATTGTTACATGGGTTGGTATCGGTCAGACAAACGAAAAACCAGATACCAATCCTGGATGTAATATTGAAATGACTAAATTACCAAACCAATACATTTGGGATAACCACTCTAAAAATAAATTTAGAGAATCCTTAAGATCACAAGACATACAAAAGAAATTGAATGAATTTATGAACTCAGATTTTACCACTGATTTGAACGGAACAAACCAATGTGTGACCGAATTCCAAAACATCTTACTTGAAACATCGAGAAAAAGTTTGAAAATTAAAAAGAGCAAACGAAGAAGAAAAATCGCTAACGTTGCTCAAAAGAAATGGTTTGATAAAGACTGTAGAATCAAACGACATGATTTAAGGAAATTATCTAATTTAAAACATAGAGATCCTACAAATGTTGAACTTAAAAAAAACTACCATGATGCCTTGAAATCATATAAGGCAACTCTACAGCTGAAACAAAATGAATTTCACAACAAAAAGATGAATGAATTAGAAACAGCTAGTCAAATGGATTTTAACCTTTTCTGGAACACACTAAAGAACTTGACAGACAACCTTAATACTGACACTAATTCTGGAAACTCACCAAAAAATCATGAATGGTACTCACATTTTGAACAACTACATTGTGATCACTATCTCAGTGAAGAACAAGAAACAATTATTGGAAAATTGAAACAAAAGGAAAACTCGAAAAATCTCCTCAATGAGCTTGATACGGAAATAACAACCAAAGAAATTAAATAAAAACAGCTAAGAAAATAAAATCTAAAAAAGATGCACACTCAGATAAAGTGAACAACGAAATGATAAAATATAGTGTTGATATCCTTGCCAATGGTTTTATAAAAGTATTTAACACAATAATGAAATCCGGAAAGTTCCAAACTTTATGGTGTGAAGGATTTATCTCGCCAATTTTTAAATCAGGGAACAAATTAGACCCAAGTAATTACCGAGAAATATGTGTATCAAGCTCGTTAGGAAAGTTCTTCTGCTCTGTTCTCAATGAAAGACTGATTGTAAAGAATTGTTACACCCTTAATTCTCAAATTGGTTTCCTACCAAATAACAGAAAGCCGATCATATTTTTACCTTAAAAACGTTGCACGATAAATATGTTAATCAAAATAATGAGAAAATCTACGCATGCTTTATTGCTGGATTTTAGAAAGGCCTTTGATTCTGTCTGGCACGAAGGTCTTTATTTGAAACTATTAGAAAATGGAATTGGAGGATGCTTCTATGATCTGATAAAGGATCTGTACTCTAATACTCGATGTGCAGTGAAAGTATCGGGTCATAGAACACCCTTCTTCTCTTACAATCGAGGTGTACGCAAAGGTTGTGTTTTAAGCCCCCTTCTCTTTAATCTATATATAAACGAACTTCCTAATCTATTTGAAAAGTAAACCCAGACCCATTTCTTTTACCAAATGGAACGAGACTAAGTAGTCTACTATATGCGGATGATCTTGTCATACTATCAAGATCAAAATCTGGCCTCCAAAATTGTGTAGACTCCCTCATTGAATTGAGCAAAAAATGGCTAATGAATGTTAATTTGAAAAAAAAACAAAGTTATGATTCTACAAAAACATAACTCTAAACTACAATCACTCGACATTTTCCTGGGAGATAAACGTATTGATATTACAAATGAATACACTTATCTCGGTCTAAAACTAACTCCTAACACTAAATTTTCAGTTGCACTCAACAACTGAGCGAAAAGTCTATGCATGCCTTATTTAAAATGCGTAAAAATCTTGATTTTCAGAAACTTACACCAAAACTTGCCATAAAAATCTTTGATGGCATAGTCTCTCCAATCTTGCTTTATAATTCTGAGGTTTGGGGAGCCTATGGTAACAACGATTTTACTAAATGGGACAAAACTAGTACTGAGAAAACACATCTGAAATTTTGCAAACTCTATTTAGGTGTGAACAGAAAAGCGAGCAATATCGCTAGTAGGGGTGAATTAGGTAAATTCCCACTATTATAATCCCCATATTCAAAAGATCGTTTTCTTACATTAACCACCTTAGTCAATTACCAGATACAAGTATAGCGAAACAAACTTTTTACCTATCAAAAAGACTTTACTCAAACGGTAAAGAATCTGATTCATTTTATTCTAATGCTGCAAGCATTATTAAAAAGTTTCATCCTAATATCGAAGATACAATAGACATTGAAAAATTTGTCCAAGATACAAACATAAACGATTTTGTAAAAACCATTAAAGATAACTATAATAATAATAATGGTTTATTACATTAACTAAATAGCTTGAAAAGCTAAAATACAGTTATGTTTACAGTGATAGAACTTTTACAATGATAAAATGTAATGTAAAAAGTATTAATACTATGGTCTCTACTTTACTAAAGCTAGTTCAATGTAAAAAGTCTTAAAACTATTGTCGTATTTACAGATAGAATTATATTATGTTAGTTATTACTCACTACAATATATAAACCCTCATGCTTACTTAGCAATATAAAGATTATATTTGCCAATTGCATATACAATTGGACTATGTTTAAAACGTTCTGTTTTACATGCAAAGTTATAGTAGGTTGCCTCATTCATTCTCGTTTCTCGTTGCTTTATTTGGGAAGTTTTCTTTGGTAAGAGGTGGTTAAGTTTATGATTCGGGTTTGACATGTCCTTAATAAGTTGGACACACATGTCATCACGTCGGTCGGTTAGCGTTTTGAGGTTCGATTCCATTAGTGCTTCATGGTATTTTAGTTCCGGATAAATTATCCTTAACGCTCTTTTCTGGATTCGTTCGATATCTTCGCTTTGCTCCATTGTCAAC